ATATATATATATATATATATATATATATATATATATATATAAAGTAATGTGGTCAGACTAGAGCCCCCCTCCCTGTTCAGACATGTGGCTTCCATTCAAGAAATAGCATTTCAAAAGTGGTTTGCTCCCATTATTTAAAAATAGAATTCAAATCACTCTAAAAAAGTTGAGAGTAGTTAACTCCACTTTCAATTAGGAGGCTTCAAGCTTACCTATTTGTCAAACCACTCTTTAAAAAGTGAGGGTAGTTAAATAAATAACTAAATAACTGTTTTTCATCTCTATAAAAATAAAACTTAATTTAACCTCTTAAACAAAAATGATAAGCATACATGAGTAAAAAATATATTAAAATACTAACCCGTACTTAGTACGGGGGCTCATGCCTAGTGTCAAACAAAAGTAAACCATCTGGTAAAAAAGAATGCAACAATACGCATGCACAACCAAATGGCAATTTTCATGAAGAAAACATAAAGAAACTAAAGAAAATTTCCTTGGAATGCCAACCGGTGTATGCATAAAGCTATGGAAACAGATTCCTTGTCACATTGCTATGGTGTAGCTAACATAGAAATATTTATGAGCTAGACGAGCATAGAAATCATCGATTGCTAAATTGCTGATATTTCAAAAGTAATCATAAAAAGAGATGACAATACAGTTAAAGATACCTCCTCTTTCTTGTCTTTCTTGCCTCCAGTAAAGAACTTGTAACCTCCATAGAAAAGCAAACCCCATCCAGATAAAGAGACGATCACAAACTACAAAAAATAAGAGCTGCTCATGAAGACTGGGTCACTACAGTTCCACTAAGATCACTAGAAGGAGAATGTAGAATATCAGCTCTTTTCATATTTCAAGTGTGTCAGTCAGTCCAAATGCCTAATATGGTTCATTACTTCATTATATTAAAGAACATCAAATAATTGGATTGGCTTTTTTTTTTGCACAGACAAATTGGGATGACTATTCACTCATTAAGAGACAAAAAGGTATTTTTTCAAAAGGCAATACAAGTTTTTGTTAATGTCAAAAAATGGGACAAAAAGATGCAAAAAATGAGATTCTAACATCCAGAACTGCCAAAGTTTTAAGTAGAAATTAGCAAGGTCATTGGAGCGACTAATTTAACCAGTCGACAAACAAAGGTTTACCCAATTCCCAAGGTTTGTTTTTTTGTTCTTTTTTGGTTGGTATTTCTGAGGTTTTGGTTTGGAACCATTAAATAAGCATCTAGTAAAATTCCTATCGCTATCAGTTTATTGTAGACAAACTGAATAGGATTGCTAACTTTTTCTCCAGGATTTATTGTCATGTATATAAGAAAGTCATCATGTATGCCTGGATGAGTATTTTCCTAATGAACTTCTTGGGTAAGGCACCAGGGGTTTTACATAGCCCAGTTGTAATATTATTCTATTTTCCTTTTCAGTATTATTTTTTTCCCATGCCATATAAGTTCCTGTACGGTCCCTTGATGTACATGGCTAATCTAATGCTCTGAATTTACTCCATTTTGACTTAACACAATACCTTACCTTTGTATATGGTCTTTTATACTATACAAAAACTATTCTTATAAATACAAGAGAAGACTTACATGCTCTTCTTTCCATTTAGATGGGTTCATTGGGTCCTGCCAGAAGTTCACCTTTGGAGGTCCATGATGATCTGCAACAGAACAGATAAGCATGTTCACAAATGACAGAGAAAGTGTAGGTTCTACAAAAGCATATTTATTAATAATCATGTATTATCAAAAAATAAATATTGGCAAAGAAGCATGTATTATCAGCCAAGTCAAATATGGAGTATTGCCAAAGACAAATTCAAAATCATCATTTAAGAAAGAAGACGAAATGGAAGACCAACATCAGAAAAATCACCCCATCCAAGACCCTATGTTCTTTAGAATCATGACTACAAAATTGCTATTTCCCCCATTTTGATAACAAAGACAAACAAATAGGTCCTACCACAGAACAAAAAGAATCTCTTAACTCCACTGTGACTACACTTAGAATTAAATTTTGCTGTTTCACGTTTCTTTTACATACCAAATTCCATAGCATTCACAAAAGGGCGTTGAACACTAATTCTTAAATTTTGGGTAGCTTAGCATTGATCAAGGTCACCATTCCCCTCTTTTATTATCCACATTGATGAATAAAGTGAAAACCCCCAGCTGAACTTTCAACAGGCTACCACTTGTTGTCGTCTTAAGAGTTTCCTTACCAGCTTAAATATCAAGCAACTAACCTATATACAGTGCATCTAAGGTGTCATCAACATCAAGGGAATAATCTCAGAGATCAGAGTAAATATGGTATAACCTCGGATGGACTAACAAACTGTAGGATAGCTCGAAAGGGGAAGGAGGGTTTGGAGCAGAGATATTATACCAAACAGATTTTAACTAAAGAAAAAATCCATCACTAGAGATTCCTACCCGAAGTAACTACTCATAAAAAAACAAATTTCCTAGAGGGAACCCTGCAAAAGTAAAATTTTGCAAGCTCTGATTTTTCTTCTTTTTCCTAAATTTATGATTGAGATCAAGACTCGTGGGGAGATAAAACTAAGAAAAAAAATACTCGAAATTCAGGAGAAAAAAATGGGGGTCCATCATCCATGATAGATATATGAGATCTTTACCTCCACCACCTGCAAGACCACGCCGCTGGATTAGCTTAGCAGCTTGAACCGCAGAAGTTGGCGTAGAAATCCGATTCAGAGACGCGGCTTGACGAGCAGCTGCCGTCCATGCCGCCATCGCTAGATGTAGTCGAAGTCGAAGGAATCTAGTTTCTAGAGGAACAACGAGACGGAGAGAAAGAGAAAGTCCTACACAACGTCGAGGGCTATGATGCGGAGGGGGAGAAGAGAGGAGAAGGGCAAACGCCAGAGGACGCAAAATGACAATGTTACCCTTCCTTCTATTTTGGCTGTTGGGAAAGTTGCTGGGCACAACACGTCATAGGCTCATAGCCCTTGTACCCATGGGCCATGGCCATGGAAACCCATACCCGTGCCCATGGTGATGTGTCATGCCCGGAAGGCTGTTGTCTGTTGAATTTGGTAGAGAAGTTTCTGGGCGGAAGTCCACGTTTTTCCGTACATGGATCTTGGCTCAACACAAGGAAAACCCGAAAAGGTACGGATGAGATCCATGGAGCAAGGGATCAAATGCGTACCGGTGGATGATGTATCTTTTTCTGTTTGGCCAAGTCGAGAGGATTGTATGAGGATATCACCATTTCACACAACACACTTTATGTGAGAATCTGACTAAGACACTAGGATCTGGACCGTTTATGTTTATCGGATTGAAGGCCAAATCCAAGTGGATCCATTTTTCAAACCGACCCGGTATTACGGGTTTTTGGGAAATCATGATTTAAAACCGATCGATTTGATTTTCAATCGGTTTAGTTCTTTGTTTTTTTTATATTTATAATGGAAAAATCTATGATACGGAAAATATATGGTATGGAAAGAGTTTTGACCAATCAAAATCTATTCATGAATTTTGATAAATAACACCTGAATCATTATTGGTATTACGGGTTTATGCATTTTCAAAAAAAAAATTATCAAGTTTATGTTTCTAGTTTATTGGTTAGTTGTTTTTCCCATATCATAGTTATTTATTTATTTATACATTATAAATAAATATATCTATCTATATAATATATAAATGTGTGAATATAGTGTGAAACTTTTTTTTGGGTAGAAAGTGTGAAAATCTTTTTGAACTAAAGTTATCTTTTATTTCTTTATTTGAAAAGGGGTGTAAAAGTCATTTTATTATAATTTTAATGTTATTTGTGTATTTAATCCATCTCTAATTGTAAGGGTTTAAAATGTAACTTCAATTATTACTTTCCACCTCATCTAATCCCTTCTCATTAAGTCTTATAGTTATGGTATTAAATCTCATTTTCTCTTATTAAATTCTGTATTTTAACTTTTCACTAATAAATGATATTAAGTAGATCAATGTCAATATTTTTTAAAATATAAACCCATATATTCTAAAATTGCCTCAAAAACAAAACCATTCTTTATTCAAGTGGTGGCTAAGCAATTCAACCATCCATATCAAATTGGTTAACCTATGAAGTCATAATTAGGTAATAAAATTTTTAAAATAGAAATAAATATAAAAAATTACAAAAAATGTGTACAAAATTAGACACGTTAATGATATTTTTATTAATCAAATTAAAAAAAAATAAGTATAATAAACACGAATTATTTTTATTGATAATGAAAATAAAATACATAATTTAGAACTAACCAAAAATGAAATATAAAAATTAATAATCAATAGTTCAACTTTTGGTTAAATGTATTAACCTTTAATGTCATAAATAAATAATAAAAATTAATAAAATATAAAAATACATAAATTTTGCAAAAAAAAAAAACATTAGGCACATGTATAATATCATGTATCTATCATATTAAACAAAAAGTAAATGTGACATATTAGAATTATTTACACACAAAAATACAAAAAAAAAAGATTATAGAAATTTCTGAACACATATAAAATTCTATATTTACACTACTATTCAAAATATAAATTAGATTGTGGAACTTTCTTTTGACTAAAATCAAGGTTTTAAAAATCGACCCAAAAATGGATCCGCTTTAGCTTCCGGTTTTCAAGTTATTGATTTAACCGTCCAATTTGGACAAATTAAACTAGTAAGATGTAAAATATAATGCAACTTTTTATTTTGACCATTAGGTTAGGATTATGTTAAAGTCTACCATATATTTACATTATTATGAGAGGGAGTGTGAGACTTTGAAAAGGAGGCAGCTCGTTAAATTTGATAAGTGAGAAAAAAGAAGAAGAATGAAGCATCGCCAGATTTGGTTGCCACCATATTCATCGAGCATTATTGTAGAAATATTTGCCCTAAGAAGAAGAAGGAATCGTCGACAACGGCTATCTCCTTATTCATCATCACCACCACTACAACATTGCTTGCCCTCTTTTTACATCTTCCTTATCTCTCTAAATCTCTCTCAACTCCCAGATAATTTGTTTCATTGGTGTATCTCAGATTTTAATATAAGATCGATGTCTAATCTCTCATCTCTTGTATCGATTTTTCAATTTCTTCATTGGAGTTGCATTTTTTTTTATTGTTGCAACTTAAAAAAAATCACAAAAATGAGAAAACTCGAAATCAAAATAGAATGACTAAAAACCCTAACTATTTTTTATCAGTGGGAATAATCGAACAAGATTTTGAGATATGAAAGTTTCTTTTATCAATTTTTATTTTTAAAATAAATAAAAAATTAGAATTAGTTTGAAAGCAACTCGAAAACCATTAACCAACTTAAACATTTTAATGGTTAAACCGTCTAGATTAGTAGTTCTCTAAACCAACATTTTTCTATAAATATAGAGATTTGGGGCCAAAACAGAACTAGTGACCTCACCAGTTCCCGGGCCAAACAGTTTGACTATTCGGTCTAGTCCAATTTTTAAAACATTAACTAAAACACTTATTTTGAATTTAATCCCTATTTAATGGTAAGGTTTATATTGTGAATTGAACTACTACTTTGCACCTCATTCAATTCCCTCAATTTAGATATTACGTTCTTTTGATAAATGAACAAAAGAAAAAAGATCTATAGATAAAAGTGTGGATGCAGAGTGGAAGTTTTTTTGGACTAAAATTACTTTTTATTTCTTTGTTTGATAAAGGGTATGAAAGTCATTTTATTACAGTTTTAATGCCAACTTTTGATGGTTACTAAAATACCCATATTTGTCTATTTATTACATCTTTAACTGTAAGGGTTGAAAATGTAACTTCAATTATTATTTTCCACCTCATTTAATTTCCTTTCATTAAGTCTTATACTTAAAGGTATGAACTCCCATTTTCTCTTACTAAATCTTATATTTAGGTTATTTTTCACCAATAAATGGTACTAATTAGATCTATGCTAATATTTTTAACAATATAAATCCATATATTTTAAAACTAGCTAAAAACAAAACCATTCTTTATCCAAGTGGCGGCTAAGCAATTCGACCATCTGAATCAAATTGATAAACCTATGAAGTCATAGTTACACAACAAATTTTTTTCAATTAGAAATAATGTATAAAAAATTAAACACATTTATGATACTTTTATTAATAAAATTAAAAAATAAGTGTAATAAAAAAAATTATTTTTATTGATAATGAAAATGAAATACATACTTTAGAACTGACCAAAAATGAAATTATTTTACTATTAATTAAGTGACAAATTAATAATCAAAATTTGTTGTTAATTAACTAAAAATTCAAGGTTATGGTTAATATTTAAAAATTTAATAATGCATATTTTTTTAATGTTGATTTATAGAAAATCATTATTGTTAATTTAATATGAATTTGGTATTTTAACATTCAAGGTTGCATTTGATATTCCTTATTTTAAGGATTTATCTCCTTTTTGTAGTTAAAAACTAAGTGTTTAGTCATTTTAACAACAAAAAGGAAATAAGTCCTTAAAATAAGGAATGCCAAATGCAGCTTTATGTTAATTACCCAATGAATGTATCTTTTTAAGAACACAATTTGTATAGAGGCAAAAAAAAAAAAAAAAATCCTAAACAATTCATTCATAATATTCAAATAAGATAGACCATTTTAATTACTAACTTGTTAAGCATGGTCATATCACTAATAGTATCATCATCATCATCCATGCCTTATCCCAATTATATGGGGTCGATTACATGAATCCTATTTCATCAATCTGTTCTATTTAAAGCTATGTTTGTTGTTAAATTATTAGTGCTTAAATCATTCCTTACTACTTCTATCCATGTCCTTTTTTGTCTACCTCGAGCTTTTCTAGCTCCTTCAATGGGTAATAAATCACTTCTTCTAATTAGTGCACTTGCCGGTTTTCTATGCACATGCCCAAACCATCTTAGTCTACTCTCACTCATTTTATCACCTATTGGATCTACTCCTAGGTTCCTACCGACAGGGGCGGAGCCAGGGGAGACCCAGGGGAGCCATGGCCCCCCTATGGTTCAGAAACTCCCCATTGAAAAACAGATTTCCCTTTAAATTTTCTCCTCTCCCCATTCTCCATCTGAATGGTTGACCCCCCTTATGGGTCCATCCATACTTCATTTATGTTTTGGCCCCCCTTATAACAATTTTCTGGCTCCACCCCAGCCTATAAATAACTTCATTTTTAATCCTATCCTTTCTACTTTTTCAACTCTCCCATTTTAACATTTGTATTTATGCCACATTTATTTACATACCACAAACAATACATAAATCCAAATTTAGATTAGGGCAAAAATGAAATTGGAGAAGAATTGAGAGAGACCCGTTCCACAACTTTTAAATTCCGGTATTTAGAATCAATTGTAGCAAAGACGAATTTGGAAATTAGTAAGGATCCTTAATAACTAATCGATTTTGCTATGAATTGACACTAATTAATGGGTAGCGAAGGTTAGAAGTTTGAGGATCTTTAGCAATAAAAAGTTTACTGTTGAATGGGTAATTCAACCTACAAATTTTATTGTTCAACAGTTCAATGAATCAGGTAGGCAATGTGAACACCTTTCAAAGGAGCATTTGGTGAATCATTGAAATTCAAATGTTTTTACATTTCTCGATTGGGTTAAAGTTCTTATTTTTAGTGATGGCATAACTATAAACAATAGATTGGTATAGTTTGCTTTTTTTTTTTTTCATGATATTGTTTTTCTTGGATTAGAGGGGGGGGGGGGGGTTGATTCTCATGGTTTGTGGAAGAATTGGAATTAAAGGCAATCTGCAAAGTACTTTGGTGGCCAAGGAAAAAGCAAGGAATCATTCGATCATTTATTATTACTCGGTTTA